CAAGTGAAAATCACATGACTGAAAATTGGAAAATCGTTCGTAAAGATGCTTTGTTTGCTGTTCATTTCTTGAGTTGTGGTCAGTTTGACCTTCGAATTGTGCAAATTGTGTCGGCTGTCATCAATTACCAGCGCGGGCAAACCAAACAAGGCATTGACGCACAGTTTGAGTTGTGCCCGTGGAGGTTGTGCTGCAGTTGTTTCTGTTTGTTTGAATTGTGCCAAGTTCACGTGGCCCAGTGTTTCAAGCATGTTTTGGTCTTTCTGTACAGTTCTTGCTCTTTCACCGCGGACCCAGTGACAGCAGTCGCACCTGAGGCCACATCACGCCAAAAAACAGATTGTGTAGGTGTCTTATTCAGTTTTGCCTATGGAGTCTTCGTTTCAGTTTGCTGTCATTGTGGAAGATCTTGGCTGGCGGAAGCCCGTTTCCTGCGGGAGAACGTTTCCTGCGGTAAAGTTTTTCCTACATTTAGGCGTTTCCTGTGAAAAGATTTTTCCCTTTATGTGCTTTTTCGTGTGTCGAGGCACTCAAAGAAAAAACAAAGTCGTTTCCAACTCCGCGCGGCTTCCTGCCATGGGCAGGCCGCAAGGCATTTCCAGTAAAAGCCACGTTCCTCCCACACGGGGTTTCTCGCCGGAGGACTACACCCTTCTAATTTGTTCGCCTTAGAGAGCGGTGGGGGTTGGGCCCGTGCAGGCCCCCCATTTGCAAGGAGGGAGGCCCTCTTCGAAGAGCGCTTCGAAGGCGAGGATAAGGTCCTCGCCATTAAAACTTTCGAAGTCCAATCGGCCACCAAGTAGTCCTCAGATGAAGACCGATGAAGACCTGCAGGGATTGAATTCGTTGTCACGGGAAGAGTGGTAGTAGTATGCACATCGGATACTCAGCACATTGGTTTGTTTGTCACAGCTTGGCTCAAAGAGTCGGATCGAGGTAGTTGGTTTGCCATGTTTCAAGGGTGCTTGGCATGGCTCAACAAATATAAAAGCTGTGGTTGCGTGTCGTTAGTCTTCAAACATGTTCGCGCTGACGATATGCCATGACTGTGGTTGCTGATGTGGTCAGGCTCTCCATGTTTTCCTTCCTATGCACCCATTGCTGACGAAGGTTTTTGTCGTTTAGGTGTGGGGGTGTCTGGTCGGGGACCGGTTGCGTATGGTCTCCGCAAGCCATGGCAAAGAGACGGACTGCAGGAGCATCATGTCTGCATCGCAACCCCAACAAAGCCCAGTTTTAGATTAAGCTCAGGCGAGAGCAGGTCATGGGATCCTAAAAATCCGTGGACAACTTCCGGTGAAACCCACGGCCCCATTCGTTCTGAAATGCTTTTGGCAACACAGTTCAGCCGGCAACCATTGACAGTACACCAAGTTCGATCCGAAATGCATAGAGTTCACGTTATAAATCAACATGAAGACTTTGTTTATTACATATGACACAAACGAAATACCCCATTCTGAGAACAGCGAGCAGCCTGCATTTCCTTAGTGTGTTCGCGAGCATGTCTTCTTGCTTGGGCTTGCAAGTTTGGTGTCTCTTGGTGAAAGCTTGCTGAAGTCAAGATGTGTATCCCCAATGCTTGTCATTTCTCTGCGTAGCGTGTCAAATCTATCTATCCACGAACGGTGCGTTCTACCCGTCTACCCATAGTACTGCAGCTTAACGGGCTACGGGCAAGTCCTGCAGTCCTACAGAGTTTGCAGGTTGAAGCTTACAGGCGAGTTGGTAGTTGTCAGGGCGTGGGGGAGCAATGGTAAGGTAATGTAAAGCAGGTTAAAGGGGTCAGTGAATCTGCAGGTCCAAGCTTGCATGCAAGTTGGTAGTCAGGGTGTGTGGGAGCATTGAAGTTGACTTCTTTGTTCTCGGCTTAAGCGCTTCGGGCACCGTGGGGATGTAAGAAGATCCGAGCCCAACTTCTAACTTGGGCCCGTGTTCCTCAAGCTGCACACCGCACACCCAGGTACGGTAGTTCCAATGTCGGCCAGGAAGAAGAAAGTGCCGGGGGCCCCAGCTCTCTCTCGGAGGCCAGAGTCATTGAGTCATGTCCCTAGGTCCGAAGGCCTCGGAAGTAGATCGCTGCCGCTGGAATAGCTATGCGAGCTCTGCGAGCTCTGCGCTGAGGTCCACTGGGCTGGGCGCCCTGCAATGGCAGCGGCAGCTCCCGCTCCTCGGACTCAGAGCTTCCGAAGCGTCGGCTTCAGATAAGGGCTGCCAGGTGTTGACTTGCATAAGCGCCTTGAGTATAAAGCTCATTCCCTCCCATCGCGTTAGAGTCCAAGACTGCAGGTTTTCGGCGAGCGCCCTGTTGTTTCTTGCGTCGCTCCCCATGGCGTCGGGGGCTTTGTGCCGGTCGACGTTCCGTCTCAGAGAGCCCGCAGAGCGAGAGAGCGAGGCTGAGCTCCACTTTGTCCGGCATCTCCCACGTGTCGGAATTCACCAACGCACTTTGGCCCAATTGAGCCTTGCGGAGGGGCGAACACGGGGCATTTCAGGCCCCGAGGCCCGAGGCCTTCAAGGGCTTCAACCCATCAGAGCTGGAAGAGCTGTGGAGCCAGGGCGTGCCGTACCAAGCGCCTCTTATCGAGCCACTCAATCGGCTCGGCGTGCAGGACAAGGGGATGCAGCAAAGCTTTTAAGGACATCTGCGCTCTCCATAGCAGAGCAATCGTTCCATCGTGTGGTTCGGCAATGGTGTAGGTGGTGCGATCACAAAGAGTACTGTTGTAGTGGAGGTCGAATCCCGTGAGCCCCAAGTCATGCTTGTTCAAGCCGAACGCGGACCTAAGATTCTCAAAGCTGGAGGCTGTGCGGCAAGCTCGATGCTCACTGCAGGAGGATACGGCTGCCAAGAACATGTCCCAGTTCGTCCACATTGGCTGCTTCATCGCGGGAGCCTCGGAGCAGCCCCGGAACTTCTCGTGATAGCCCAAGCCGACTTGCCATCGCTAGGCTTCCATGGGCATCACACGGGACGCGGAGCAGGCCCCTGAAGTTACAATGTTCGGGTTTGGAGGCTCGAAGGTGTTTGGGAAGCGCCGAGTGCATTCGGGCCACTTACACTCGTTTCTTGGTTGCTTCGGGCTGGCCCGTGCGGGGTTGCAAAGATCCTCCTAGGAGGGCCCTCAATTTCTGCGTTTCACCTCCGCAGAGGACACGCACTTCGACCCGAGCGCCTGCGTGGATGCAGCAGCTTCAGAGCCTAGAAGTGCAGCCCCCTAAAGCACCACGAGTTCGGTGATCTTCTCTGGAGGCTCGCTTGTCAGACGAGCTCAGTGCTTGCACTGGGCTACCACTGCCGGGATCGGGTCCCTCTAGGGGTTTCGGATCATGAAGTGGGCATGGTGACTCTAGCCATCCCGTGTGCAGCGATTTGGGCCTGCCTTTGTCGGTTTCTTGTGACGAGCAGGTCCGGGGTCTCAGAGAGCCTTTGCTTCCCAGGTCTGTCGGAGCCGCTACCCCAACGCAGCCCTCAAGGCTTCGCCGGAAGGGCTGTTGACACCACTACCGTCCATGAGTGTAGACTTGGGATTTCAGCTTGCTGTTCGGCATTAGACTATTCATGGAGCCGTTGTCAAGTGGATGCGTGTCTCTTGGGATGTGGGATTTTTGTGTTGGCTCGTAAAGACGTGGACCGCAGCTTTCGGGTTTCTGGTGTTAAAAGTACCGTTCACGGAAGTGCCTTGGCCTTGGTCCCGTAGTCTTCAGCCCCCAGCTCGGACCCCGAAACCCAGTCGCTCCAGCGAAGACACCTGTGCAGACAACGTCTGTGATTTTGCAGGACATCGCAGTAGCTGTGCATGGTCCACGGTGTGGCTGCGCACTAGGAGCTCTTTACGATGCCAGGGTCTCGATGGTCTTTGCCAAGTCGGACGCAGAAGCAGCATCTGTTGAGACCGTCTGCCCTCGTCCTTCCCGGACCTAAAGCCCGAAGCCGCTGCCGAGACCTTCACCGAAGCCGACCCCAGCTTCTGTACTATGCAGTGCAAGTTTTTCGAGAACCCCATTTGCGGGGGCTTGCCCTCCTTTTGGGGAGCCCGGCGCCCAGTTCAACGGATCTGCTGGGCCTCGATGTTCGGGGTGCCGATTTGTCAGGCAACTCGGAGGGTCTTTCTGCAGATGAGGGCTTCCAAATTTCGCTTTTCGCTGACCTTGTCACTCCTAGAGATGCCAAGCGCTTCCCTGCCGCGAGCCCCAAACCAAGTGTGTCACCAAGGTTTTCGTTCAGTATGACTTTCAATCCTACGCCTCGCATGGGGCCTATGATCCATGGCGCAAGATTTGGTGACCTGGCAGAGGAAGTGTGAGGGCTGGTAAGTGGTTTACTGGTCCGGATCATGTTGATGGACGCAGAGTATCAGGTTTCCGTTCGAGTGTTGAACGTAGGCCGTATCGCTCCGACGCATTGGACGTCTGCTTGCGGTCCAATGCGCCAACAACGGCCTTCCTCCTCCTTTCACTTTCCGGCCACTGTTTGATTGGTAGACCGGCAAGGGCATGTTTGGGATGCATGGCAGAAATGCTGTGAGTTCCCTTTGAACAAGGGTGTAACACTTTTTCGCACTGTGGAGAGAGCTTCGGGAACGAAGCCCTGCCCAGCCCCCATACGTGGCTCAATCATTCCAAGAACTGGATAGTCTCCTTGCCTTCAGACACACCGCAATCGCCTTTACCTGCATGCCGTGTCCCTGCACTAAGGTACTCGATCGTCGCTGTGCGCGAAGCCACGATCATCGGGGCTGAGGCTGTGGCTGCAGTCGTCAAACCTGATAGGAGCCACGAACCCGAATGCAGTTGCGCGCCCGATAGCAGCAGGATTATCAGTTCTAGGTTTCGCGACCAGGACCCCCGCCATCCATCCCCGTGACTGTTGACACTATTGGATCGCGAGGTCCAACAAGTGACGACAGTTCTGCGTTTCGCGACGATTTTCGGCTCCCAGCCAAATCCGACACTCGCGGACGCTTGCGAACGCTTTCGAACGCTTGCGGACGCTTGCGAACGCTGCGCACGCATTCCGAGTCAACTCCTAACCCTCAGACCCCCAACCTTCAAACGAGAACCCTTCTGCTACGCATTCGGGAAAAAAACCGAAAGCCTGTTGTCACGAGTCTGTTCCACTCCTCGTCCCCGTCGTCCCCGGTCTTGGCTTTCCGGCCAGGGCCAAGGGAGGCCCAATCAGGATCCAGTGTCTTTCAGTACATGCAGCAGCATTTGTGTTCTACATTGTTTACAGTTTCAGGCTGAACTGGTAATGTCTCGCACCCCAGCCGGTTCAGCACCTCGTGGCCAAGCACGGTTCGGCGGATTGAAAGACACTACAGATTAGAGATAGTGGAGAGAGATACAAGGTCGAATCTGGGTCAGATCCAGTGAGTGTGGCAGGTGTGACACAAGTTGTGCTTTCCATTCATCAGCAGGTCTTTTCTCACCTCGCGCTAGCACCCCTGAGCCCCAGAGCATTTTAGAATATGCCTTGTTGACCTGTGAAAGGCCTGGAATCCAGACAACCAGCACCCAGCTCAGCTTCCATGAGTCGCGATTTCAGACAGGGCCTTTTCGTGGATTTGAGTATGTTGTGGACTCCGGAATGTCACCCACCGCCAGTCCAGTTTGATGTGCCGCGACGCTTGAAGTCGTCTTGATTCGGAGTGAGGGCGGAGGCTCAGCTGCAGCCCTGGGATCGAGTTGCCCAGTGTTTCCGCACATGATGCCTCGAGATCCGCCCTTGAAAGACAACACGTACACCGGCGCAGTCCCAAACCAAAGGACAAAGCGAGAACAGCAGCACCCAGAAGAGTCCCACCTTTTTTCCGAGGGGCCCTCGGCACCTCAAGGTTGGATCCGGAGCGCTACTACCTTCACGCCGCATCGGTCCAGACGGGCCAAGCAGCGCGAGGGCCTTGCAGCTTTTACTTGGACTTTGCGATTGTCCAGCTGTTTTGCTCCGCCTTTCTGTGGCTTTTCCGTGTTTTGCTCAGTCAAGAGCGGTGGGCGAGCGAGCGAGAGAGACAGAGACGCTGGGATTCGTGGGTGCTGGATCGTGATTTTCGAGCACTTCGTCGGGTTTTGGGTTCTTTGAGTGTATGGAGTTCAAGCATCGGATCTGTAATGCTTCAGAATATCCGACCTTTTCGATGATGCTGTATTCTGCAGCCGCCTGCTTCAACAAGCTTGATGGAAGCTCATATCAGAAAAAGAGGATCTGTGCATCTGACAGTTCACACCTTGGCCAATGAGCTTCAAAAAAGACCCTTCCGGCTGTGGCCTCCATTCTTGTCGAGTAGAGGAGAGCCTCGCAAGATTTTATCCTCGAGCCCGGCTCCCGTAGTCCAGAGCTTTTCACGGCAGCGGGCCATGCCTATCGGCCGCATCCGCTGCGTCGTCTTCGACTTGGATGACACGCTCTGGAACACTGCCGCCGGGCCTCTGAAGACTTGTCTGCGGGACCCCTTCAGGGGTTTTTGGATGCGGGTTCTCTGTCGCTGAACGTCGCCGAAATCGATCTCTGCTGTCCAATTCCAGGGGGTGTTTTAGATCCCTGAGCCTAAATGTTGCGAAGCTGTTCGCTCCCTTGTTTCAGGTCCACACACTGGAGAAGGCCCAGGAGGCCACGGGGCAGTTTTGAGGTTCCAGGAGGCCACGAAGCTTTCCCTGGCTTTGCTATGCCCAGCCAGAGGTCATGAGCACGGCGCTGTCGGCGAAGCGCCCGGAGCTGCAGACGGACGCCTTGACCTTCAAGGAGGCCAGAGACAAGAAAAACACGCTACGCATCGCTGCGCGTCTCTCAAGCTTCTGGGATTGGGATTGGAACTCCAGAGCAATCAAGAGTCGAGAAACTTGGACACCAGGCCTTGTACGAGCAAACACTGCCTTTCGTCGGAGAGGCTTTGTTAGCCTTTTGTAGTTGTGCGTTTCGTGGCTGCTCGGATGCAGGAGATGCGGAGGGTGCAAGAAGAGCACCCGGAGAATCTTGGAAAAAGCCGAGGGTAGGCTGAAGACTGAACCTATCCATTTTCTTTCGTCTTGGGCCACCGGCTTCTGCATGTCAAGGTGCAGCAGGTTGTTGCTTTTCTCGTTGGCGAGCACCCTTGAGTGTAGATCCCGTACGCCACTAGGAGGTTTGAACTCTGGAGGAGGCAGGCAAATGCCGTGACTCGAATCCCGAATGTTAACGTAGTGACGCAGATTCGATGTAGACTTTTACGCCGTAGCTAATCATCGAGATCCGTCGATTTTGGCGTGCATCAGGAAGAGGCATGACTTTACCTTCTGCCGTCACGAAGTTCTGCGGAAGCTGACAGGCATCATGCAGGCTTTGCTTAGCAAGGTGTTTACCCGTGGGACGGCACAAGCGGTTTGTAGTGCACAGCAGGAACGGGGGTTGTGAGGAAACGGAAGACATGGACTTTGCAAAGCCTAGATTGAAGGTGAGCGATCCTCCTTCGCCCTCATTAAGGAGCAAGACCCCTGTGTCCGCTCGCGTGTCAGGCGATGATCAGCTGGCGCAAGAGGTTTTCCAAATCTGGCACCGCCAAAGGTGGGCAGAGCAGTTCGCAGGGTTGGCTGTGGAAGCAACCTTACAAGGGATGCGAAAGCAACAGCTATAGATTTAGTTCCATGCGCGTCGCCTCGAGACTCATCATCATACCTCAGCCTCTCTTCCAGTCCGGATTTTGGCAGGAACAGTCCAACACTATTCCCTGGCGCTCTTGATGCAATCCGTTCGCTGAAGTCCAAGGCAGGTGAAAGGGATGTTGCCAGTCGGTCTCTACTCATCCAGTACATCCTCGTAAGGCGAGTCTTTGGGAGAGGCCGACTAGTTCGAGGGATTCCGGTCCAGCCTAAGGCGCTGATAGAGAGACTGCTAGGATGGTAGCGCTTCTCAGCTTAGCAGCCTGGGCTGGAAGGGCGTTTCCATTGGCACGCTGACGGATGGCAATGCCAATCCCTTCACAATCGATGGTCTGCCGCTTGTCTATGCTGTCTAAGCTTATGACCTTCGAGGCCCTAGCCCTAACTCGTGAGACTCAGAAGACGGCAGGCGAGTCAGCGAAACAACCCTGGATTCCTGAGTTGTGTTTCTTTTTCGTGCCCGACGCATCGGACGTCGAATGTCTCACAGTCCTCAAGCGCTGCGGCGCCGCCTGAAAGCAGACGTCTCAGCCGGCCAGCCTCAAGCCCCAAGCGCTGAAGGAAGGACGTCATCGATTTTGCCGTGAACGCCGTCGAGGTGGGCGCCGTGCTGGACTCGCGGCAAAGAGCAGAGCACAGGGGCGGGGCCGGCCCCGGGAAGGCGCCGCTCGGCCGCTCTGTACTCGCCCTGTGCTTTTTTCAGGCGGGTGCTCCGAAGCCGGATCGGCGAATGTTTGCGCTGCTTGACTTCAGCCGGATTTCAGGGCGCTCTGGGACCGCGCCCTCATCTCATCGCACCCGAGGCTCTGCGAGAGCAAAGCCGGCCTGGGCCCGGAAGAGATGGCCCGGGGGCCCACGGTTTCTAGGGGGGTAATTTGTGGGCAGCTCACGTCGTGTTGTTCGGCTCCGCGAGCTTTTGTGCGGGCTCTGGCGGGGGGAAATCCTCTTGTCACCTTGTAGGAGTCTTTCGTCTGACAGCCGGAAAAGGAGACACCAGCCATAATAGCAAGGAAATGGTGAGGCATACAAACTAGCTGATCCTTGTCTGCGCCGTAGGTGTCTGGACGCTGTTAGCAGTTTTACAGATGGTGGCCAGCGACGAGTCGGTATGGGGCAAGTTTGTGCGGGCCACTCGTGTTGGAAGAAGAGTCAGAGCCAGATGTGCCGAACACAGACGGGGGAGACTACCTGTGAACTTGTGGGCGCTTCTGACTTGCCTGAGTCGGCCTTTTCTGATTGTCATAGTCATCTCAAGCGGATGTGCTGCCTCGGTTGTGCCAAGCGGCCGCCTTCCACAAACTGACAAACAAGAAGACACGGTATCAAACGATTTTAACTGACGAGTTGCTTCGCAGCACATTTTTGACACAAGAAAGAGGGTGTGGCTATGGAATTGCGATACAGGGGCAGGCCATAGGTCTGGTGTGAAGCGAGAGAGCTCGTGATTGGGAGCACAACTTCCTGCCTCTGTGGCATGCCAGAAAGGTTTCAAGCATAATGAGGAGAAGAAGCCCATCAGGACATCTTTTCCATCACATCCTTCAGCAACGGCTGCACTCTTGCTATTGTTTGTAAGGGGGACAGACCGTTCGTTGCGGTTGGAGCCGATGGGGTATGGGACCACATGGACTGGAACTTGGCGGCCACTGCCGTGCCAGCTGGCAATTTTCAAGCATGGACTTGTTAAGCATTTGCACACCTAGTTGCCGGTGAGGTTTCTTAGGAGGTCCCGGCTTCGGTTTGGGGCTCCGACGGCTCCGCCAGGTTATGGTCGGCGACAATCCAGCCAAGGACGTGGAGGGAGCCCTGGATGCAGGCTTCGGGGGCAGTTTTAGGGTCGGGTCCCGTGCGGTGAAGCTAATGAGGACAAGTGGCCGTGAAACTCACGAATTTTGGTCAATCCCTGAACGCAGGCATATCCGCGCCACTCCGTTCTTTCCTTTTCTGCTGCTTCTGGTCGCGCAGTGCGCAAAACGTCGCATGAAAAGCAAGGGATCCCGGATCCCCGAAATCCTAAACATTAAACGCCAAAACCGAATCCCGCTGTCGTCGCAAGCAGGTTGGCGGGCCATTTGGGTCAGGCCGCCGGAACCGTGACCTGGATGCAATCGAGGTCTTTTTCAGGCCAGGCCTGGCGTTTTCCAGGAGCTTCCGCGAGCGAGTTGGCCTTCTTCGGGAGTTTTTTTATGCAGAAGCACGGGGGGGGGAGGGGGTGCGGCAGTGGCAGTGCGTTGATGGATTCCAGGTCCATTCTGCGCAGTGCCTTCGACGTGGACGCTGGCGGCTCTGGCCCGGCTCCGCGGCGAGCACATGCGGACGTGGACCACGTCTCTGAGGCGGAGCAGAGCAGCTAGAGGGTATCCATGATATTTCCGAGCGCACAGCGGCCCTTCATCTGGTCAGGTCGAGGCCTGCCTGACGTCTTGGGCATAGGCAGGAGCGCGTGTCGCTTACAGGAGATTGCAAGGGGTTGATGTTGCCGAGCTCGTGCCACGGTCCTGCAGCTGCTGTTTGTGTTCGTGACGGGGAAGGGCCTGTCCAGCCATTGGTCGGAAAGTGCTTTGATCAAGACTTCAAGACAGCCCTCTACTGTGACAGGCATTCAACTTGCCAAAGATGCAACCGTGAGATGAAAGTGCCGACAAAAGAGATCCGACGCATTGATGCACGGTGCATGGGTCGTGTTGGGGATCTCAGCAGCACCATCGAAACGCAAAACTCTCCCTTTGGCCACGCGTCACAGCATCGAGAGACCTAGCCAAGCTTCCATGCTGCTCTTCGAGGAACTCAGCACGAGGTCCAACCACGGGCCCTCGGGATTCAAAACAACGCAACTCTTTGGAAACTCTGGACTCTGGCGACCCTGCCTGCCCTGCCCTTCCCCTTAGGTTTCCATTCCAGACGCGGCTGCCGGGCATCGTCCACGGCCTGGGGGGGGGGGGGGGAAATAGGTGTGGCATTTGTGTTTTGGGTGTCGTGGTTTGGGATGGGGGAATCAGGTTTCTTAGGAGTTTGGAGTTCGAGGACGTCTGCTTTTGCTTGTGAAAGTTTTGTGCCGCAGGGTAGGCGCATCCATTCTTCCGAGCCATCTGTACCTAGATCCGTCGGAAGGCATTCAGTACGACTTAGACTCGGGCCGCCTCGTGGGCGTCCTGACTTCGGCCTCCACGGCTCGCGTCCGGATGCTGACGCCATGGGTGTGTGGCCGGCGGTGTTGTACTTTGAGCCGTGCTTCAGGTTCTGCAAATTTTGGTCTGCAGGGAGTTGAAGGGTGTTGTGCTTGAGGAGGGTTTCTACTGAGCTTAGGCTGCGTGTCGGTGAATCCTTTTGCCTGCCACGATGGAAAGGACGGGGAAATGAGGTTGAGTCAGCAAAGTGTTGGTTCATGTGAGACTATGATAGGATTTTGAGATCTGCTGTGGCCCGTGCTCCTGGCAGCATGAAAGTTCCGAACAAGCCCGAGCCCAGAAGCCCGAAGCTGTGGAAAGTGTCCCCCATTAACCAATTCTCGGCTAGCCAGGTACTACTTGTGGACAGCATTTATCAACACAATCAACATCACTCACCCAAAGATCGAGTTTGACGAGGTGGGCAGGGTCTACTTCTCCGGAATTCACCCACACTTTCCTCTGGGCTCAAGCAGGGGTCAAGGTGGAGAAGGGAAGTAAAGGCCGGGATTTTCCAAGGCTTGCCCGGTTTGCAGCACCAATCGAGTCGGTTTAGTCTTGCGGTTGCAGGAGCTGCCCATCCTCAACTTTGGAGAGCAGATGACGGAGCAGCCCCTCGTCTCAGCAACAACAACCGGCTTGCCTGCTGGAGCTCCTCCACCCCCTTCCTCTTTCTCATCGAGCGTCGACAGTCCTCATGTGCACTAGGAAACTCCCACGCTTTTGCAGCTTTCCCGACGTGCAGAAATTTCGAGTCAGGATGCAGAACACTTCCAGAGCTCGGAGGTTCAATTGTCACGGCCGCAAAGTCTTTGCTGCCTTACCTACCATCATACTTTCGATTATACATCCCAAGATGTTGTGAAGCTTCTTTCTCGAGGTGACACACCAATCAAGTAACAGCCTTTCGTTTACAATCTTGAAGTCTTCTTGAAGCAAGTATCAGAATTGGTTTATCATAAACTTCTCTTAGGCTTTCCCTGCGACAATGCCTAGTAACTAGTAGCTTGACGTAGCTTAAAAACCTTAAGCAAGTTGTTGCAAAGAAAGATACACTAATAATCATTATAGTCTGCTTTGTATATTCTGGTTATAACCAAGATGATCACTTAGACCGCAGGCCCAGCAGAAGTAGGATCAGCAAGGAAGGATCGCAGACGGCGGTTAGGGGCGTATTTGGAGTATAACGTGGAGCCCCATGAGCCCAGAAAGCGAAAACAGCCTGGTTGAAGCCCAGGTTTATGGCATGGACGACGAACTCGGCGATCTTCTCTAGGAATGGCCAGGGCTGCAGAGCGAAGTATCGTATTTCAGATTACGTCCTGCGGATTTTGTTCGTTTTCCTCTCGTCATGATCCCGGATGCTCGCCAATGTTTAGCCAGCCCGGAGCATCTCAAGGCCAAAGTTGAAGTGCCAAGCTGTCAAGCCTCAGTTGCGCTCAAGCCCTCGTGCTGTCAGGCACCCAAAGCCAAACCCTGCCTTAAAAGGTTTTGTGCAACTTGGTTTTCCTTGAGACCTCGAAGTTTTTCTGACTGAGGCCAGGATGTCTTCGTCTTTTGCCAAGCGGAGCCTGCCGGATTGCTGAAGAATACAAAGTGCTGTCACCCAGTCTTCGGCGCTGGGTTTGGGTGGGGCTCCTGCTCTTGGAAGGTGCCTCTCAAAACCGGGACGGGGATCTGTTCCCTCAGCCCTCATCCCCAACCTCAGCCTCAGCACTTCCGCAGAGGTCTCGCGTATACTTCATCAGCGTCCCGGACGCCGTGATCATCGAGGCTCGGCCTCCCCACGAAGCCCGCACAAGAGCTCGTGTCTTATGAAGCGCCGAATGTAGCTCCACTGCGTCTCTCAAGCCCTGGCCCAAGGCTCAAGGCCTGGATTTCACCGTTCTGCAGTTGATGGCCGGGCGCATAGCTGGAAGAGGCTTATCACCACGTAAAAAAGTGCGCGATTTGTAAATTCCCCGGCTTGCTACATGAAGGGCTTCATGGCTTTATCTTCGGGTGTCCGGTAAGGGCCCTTTGCTCTGCAATGCTCGCGAGTATGCTTGTTGTTTATTGGAAGCATTGCCACGGTCAGGGGAACAGTTTTTGTCGAGGTATGCGAGGAAATGCCGACACACCGGACCTGGAAGCATGGATGCTTTGGAAGTTGCTTTTGCAGAGCATCGAAAACATTCGCTTCCTTGATCGGCGCCGTCACCAGGTCAATGAGAAGCATCGAGACGTCATCGCGGTTGGCCATCGGTCCGGAAACATGATGATCGCCACTACCTCGGCTTTGCAGCGGGGCAGATATGCTTTGTTCCACAGGCTTCGAGCTCGTCTTGCGTGGATGTCTGCTGAAGTTCAATACGAGCATGCGGTAATTCCTTCTGGTGCTTCCCCCTATCCTTATCTCCTTTGTCCCAGTTCGGAGGCGTTTCGTAGTGCAACAGGAGTTGGCATCTCTCTTGTCTCTTGGCTGGCTCCACATCCGAACTAACTTGAACATAATATAGCTTTCTCATCCTCAACGCGTCAGAGCTTCGTAGCCTCTGGCCAGATGATTCTGTTTGTCAAATCCGCAGCTCTTGACCTGGCTGAAGGCTGTGGAATTCGAGCGAACTCAGATCCGAACATAAAGTCGGTATCGCCCAAATCACAGTCGGGGATCCTTTCTTCTCAGAGACAAAGCCGCTTTCTGGACATCAAAGTAACATCAACGCACATCAGATGTCAACAAGACCATAGAGACAAAGCCAACAATTCAAACCCTACCTGCAGTCAGGTCATGATCGCAAGGATCTATTTCAACCAGCTCGAGGAGGGACGGGATGCGCCGGGAATCTGCCATTCAAAAATTCGATGAGTCTGGGGGGCAGTTCGCGAAGGCTTCTGGCAAGTTCCAGCAGGAGAATCCAATGTGCTCCCGTTCCCGTTCAGGGGTGTTGCATGACTGCCGATTTGGCCTTGAGACCCCAGCACCACGGAGCACCATGCCAGCAAGCTCCAGTGCGTAAAGCGGAAACGATGTTGCAGAACGCCAAGCGAGTGGAATGGCTCTACACGCCGGCGCTGTCCGGATCCAAGATGGACTTGAGCTTTGGACGAGTCGCCGCGAACCCTTCACTGAGGCCCCAGCGACTGGTGCCGACGGAGGTGTCCAGGGCCTTGCGTTCTCGGTTTTCTTTCGGACAGACCTTGACCTTGGCATGAGGTCTGCGAGGTTTTTGGGGAGAGGAAGCGGGCAGGGATTGGCTGAGGCTGCGGGACTCGAAGAGGCTCTGTCACTGCACCCCTCGCAAAACAGCGGGGTTCGGACGAGTTTCGGGAGGCTTTTCGGTTCCTTTTCCAGATGTGTACCGGGCCTAGAAGCCTCGGAGGACTTCGGGGACCTCTTCCTAACGCCCGGCTTGGCTGGCGACCCGTGGGCTTTGGATTCGAGGGGTTGCAGGATTCGGGGATTTTGCCACAGGTTTGTCATCGGCGTGCTGTGGAACTGCTGTGACGCCAAGTTTCTCTGTTTTCTGCAGCAACCCCTAATCCTCCAAGTTAAGTCCGAAATTTCCAGCTTTTCCGCTGCCCTTGCTGCAAGATTCATCCTCGATGCGGCTTTGCCCCATTAACCCAATAAGAGTGCACTTGAACTCCACCGAGGCCGTCAGCGAGCATCTTTTCAACAAGAGCTTCATCATGGTCAGGCTTCGGAAGTGTAGTCACGCTCCAGGTTCTCTCCGAGCAGTAGTAGCCCTGGCTCCCGTTTCGGAATTCAGTCCAGAGGAGGCTGGTGAGAGCGTGTTGACGTTACATGAATACTTCGCGATATCTGGCTCCCTTTCACCCTCCGTCGATGGAGCGCTGTAGTGCTGTTCCATGTGCAAAAGCGTGGCCTTGTTCTGAGCCGCGAAGAGGATGCCCAAACACCAGATGAAAGCGAGCCCAAACGGCAGCAGATCCAAGCCCCACGGCACCCTTCAGAGGCTTCGGAAGCCCCTTCCTGCGCCTTGGAAGGAAGTACCCGGTCGACTGGCTGGAACCCCGAGAGCCCGAGTTGTATCCACCTATTCTCATGGAGGCCACATGCAGCGAGGGCACTTCGGATTCTTGCAGAACGTTTCGGCTTTCCCGGGCCTGGATCTATCGGGATGTGTTGGGCAGGCCAACAGTTTTCAATGATGCTACCAGTAGGCTTCAACCCTAAGACAGGCTTGAACGACCAGACTTGGCAGCATGTCAGTTCAACTCAGATGCGTTGTCTATGACGTAGCAACTCTCAAGCAGCTGTGGTGCGCAGATCAACATCCGCGAGCCTATTTACTTCGCACCGCCGGCATGCTTGTCAAGTGACGGCTAGAACCGCAATCACCGCCTTGATGTGGTGCCTGCCGTGGAGATGCTCATGAAGGGGGGTTCTTGGTTGTGAGCAATTGGGGATGTTTAGGTTTCCGGTGGGGGTTTGGCATTTGGCTTGAAATTACGAGCCTGAAGCTGCATATCTGCATCGGCATGATCAAATGAGCACACGCACCTCTCCCAGAATGCCGCAGTGCCAGGACTGGTGCCCAGAAGATTGCCAGGGCACGGTCACCTACAAGTCTCCCTACACGCGACTCGGCTTTTGGGTCTGTCGGCGAGGGTCTCCGAGCACAGAGTTGCTTTGCTATGCCAAGGCCCATCTTCAACAAGGAGAAATGTGGGTTTGAAGCCATGGTGGAGGGTCTCGTCCACATGGCACACGGCTCATGACGAAGTCCAGTGCATTCCCATACCCCAGAGACTGTGCAAGAGTTTAGCTCTGTACTCAAGAATGTGGTTTGACAACAACTCGTGTAAAACACTGGAGCTTTGGCATTGTCTCCATCCGAACAGCAGGAGCCGCGAATTCCACTATCGCTCGCAGCGCCTGCGCTGGTGTACGCCCGCTTCAGTATGGAGGTGCTTTGATTGCTCCGCAAGCCTTGTCAGAAGAGAGGTGTCGGTGCTTCAAGCCAGTGGTAAAAGTTCAAAGGCCTGAAGCCCGAGCTTCTGTGTTTTTTGTTAGCGTTGGCAGGCAGTAACCATCGACGTGAAGTTCGACCGGGCGACCTTGCGTGGTGCCTTGCCACTGGACACCACCAACGACATCGTGTTCCTGGGCATAAAATCTCACAGAGCGTTGGGATTGCAGAAGATCCCGTGCATCTTGTTCGTGCGAGAGAATGAGAGCTGTCTGAACATACGCAACACGCTCGGCTCTGCAGTCACTCCTTCCAGAGGCCCGATATCATCGACTACACCACGCAGCTCACAGGCGATGCCTGGGACTGTGCGAACACCTTCGATGAGGCCCCCCCCACAGATGGGAAGCCTCCCCGCCTCCGCGACATCGACACGTTGGATCATCACCTCCATCCTGCTACGAGTCGTGATCCCACTTTCCTTGTTTTGAGACTGCAGATTTGCGGTTCGCGCGCAGGACACGGTGGTTCTGCTGGGCCCCTTCCCGGAGACGTCCTGCAAATGGGCCGTGGTCCCAGGTATTTGGAGAATCCGCAGAAGGTCTTAGGCTTCTGGGCATGGGAGTTTTGCTTGCAGCGAGGGTTCTGGGTCGGTGTGCCAATTGAGATCGAAGCTTAAGATCATAGTGCAAGCTTGTCACAGGGTTGGTGTTCCTTAGCCTGTGAGAGAGAGAGAGAGAGAGAACAGATGAGCCGCAAGGGGTTTCCTCCGTGAAGATGCAGCACTCACGCTCTGTTTCTCTGTCTGTGTGGCCTTGGGGAGCCACAGACCCTCTCTCTCCCTTAGTCTTGGAATCAAGACAAGGTCGTTGTGCTGCAGTGGTGCTTGTGTTGTTGAGCATAAGTCTGAGCACATGGATGTGGCTCCTGACTAACATCGCTTCGTTTCCAGAGCTATGCAGATGAAGAGTCTTTGTCCGGGGGAAGTCGCAGCAGGGCCATCAATCTTTTCTGGCGGCTTGTGTGAGGCCGCCGATGACTTGATCCAGATTTCCTTGCCGCGGCTCTTCGACATTCAGGTCCCAAGCACCGTCCAGAGCGGTGCTTGAAAACCTAAAGTGGACGGCCCCTTCTGACGGCTGCCTTTCGCAGGTTGGGGACCAGATCTTTCTGCAGGCGGACACGATCTACACGATCCCGCGGCCCCAGGCCAGGGCCAGACCTGTCAGAGGTTTCTTTCTGCTCTCGGGACGAGAGCCCGGGGAAGGACAACGAGTACTCCATGGCGGCGCAAGGCGGCATCGCAATCTCCCTGCTCGGAGCCCTGCCGCTTCCAGTTTCGCAGTTTTCTTGCTTGGGTCGCAGATCGCAGTTGTCCTAGATTCCTAGCGTCCTTCTGATCTCAAAGTCTCAGCTCGAAGCATTGAAGACGGCAGCTATCAGCTATCAGCCCACACTCTCTTAGTCCCGCACTACTCCAGGCCGGATCCCTTGGAGGAGCCTGTGGTGATTATCACGGGGACGACTGAGGCGGGGAGTGGAATGGACAGAATGGGGTCCTTCTTTTCGTGGTGTGATGGTCATTCGGTCATTCCTGATTGATAGGGATTTCCAGAACAATGGTGGAAAAAGCTCTGCCGGAAGCCTGCATATTCTGACTCGCAGCTTCGCAGATCGACGAGTGCAGCCCGCTCCAGCTGTCTGCCAGCGACAGCTACTTCTTGGGTGGGCAGGCCACATACAGGCCAGGGTGCTTACTTGTATGTCCTTGAGCCCTGTGGCACCAAGCGCCCGCGCTGCCAAAGTCCCCAAGCACAGGTGGGAGCTGCTCTCCTACCGAGATCTCACCAACAACCCGGCCGGACGCATCTTCAACCGTGTGGCCGGCCAGTTGCGGAAGCCGCCATCTCGTGGAGGAGCGAGTTTTCCCTGCAGACGCCAAGCACAGCAAACTGCCAGAAACGGCGCTGGATCTCTTCCGCTTCGTGTTGGAGAATGCCACGAACGTCAGCAGCCCGAGCTGGGGCACTGCCTGAGCATTTAGAAGCGTTCAAGTTTTGCAGGGTTGTTTCAAAACTTGGTGAGTAGCCTTGCAGCCTGGCGAAGTAGAACCGAACTGCAACTGGTTTACGAGGTTCGGCTGGTGAGCCTTGGCTCTTTTGGCTCTTTCAAGAATCGCGACTCCTTGAATCCAAAATCTTCCAGCGCCACAGAAGCTCAGCAAGAAGCCCTGTGCTGAGTTCAACGACGGCCAAGTGGTCTCCCCGCCCAACTACCTGGAGGAGGCGGTCGGCTTCATGATCAACCTCACCGTGCCCTGGCGTGGGATGTTGAGGGATTTTCGTGAGAACACGGGGACACCATCGCAGGAGGTCGGAGTCCGAAAGCGCGGAGCATGTCTTAGTTCTTATGCTGGCACGATGCAGTTTATGGTAAAAAATGCTGAAAACTTGATTCCTAACCGAGGTCACCAGCCGATGGGGTCTCTCGAAGAGCGAGCTCGTCGGCTCCTCAGCGCTGCGAGGGATCTCAGCCCGCCGCCCTTCTCGACTTCTCTTGGAGAGCTGAACCTCCTGCCCTCTCTTGGGCCCTTACCAGGTCGAAGTGACGAAGCTCGACTTCCCCGTGCCTGGGCTTGTGTTCGTGGGTGGGAAGGCGTTTCCGGTCAGGCTACAGTCGCCGGAAGGTTCATGTGACACGACGACACCTGGAAGGAGTTGAGCTGCCTCGTACGGCGCGAGTCGGAAGAAGCATACCTGTCCGCCAGAACACCCTGAGGCGCCGATGGTCAGTATCCTCGGGCCGAAGGAACTTCTCGTGAACCGCCCGGTGCCTAACGTCTCGACGCGAGCCATGCAGAGCTTGAGCTCCAGGGAATGCAGCGACAGGTTTTTGTGCTGTTGAGCGTGTTGAGCGAGGCACGGAACAAGTGTCTCTACTGGCGAACGGTGTGCCATCGGAGTGCCGGGGGCCCAGTCGAAACCTCCCCGGAGTCTTTGGATTTGCTCTTTCTCGGTCTGAAGGTCAGGAAGCTTCCGTTGCCTTCCTGGGAAATTTCTGGAACCTGTGGTCATGGTAAGCCCCATGAAATGCAGACGCAGGACTCATGCAAAGCCATCCTCCATCAAAGATTTTCAGCCGTTACCCTCGCCCTGACGCCCGGTGTCGGGTGTTCGGGCTCAGTATGTGGGAGCCTAGCTTGACGTAAACCTCACAAAGGGCACTGGACTGCTCCAAGAAACCAGGTGCCACGGTCTCCCGTCAGCTTGGCTACCGGTGGTCCGAGACCACGGGGCAGCTGGACCGCGGGAGGGGTTTTTGGAGCTCCAGCGTTGTGACGTCGGCAGGTCGAGATCATACCTAATGCGAGCAAGTGAGTCTTTAACTCGAGTTGCGGTGGACCACATGGCTCACAACAGCCGAGTTTCGATCCTCAATGGAAAGGCCGCCTGAGCTTCGGAGGGCGTGCTCTCACAGCCGGCAGTCGCATGGAGGGCCGTTGTCATGTGTCCGGTTGGAGGGTTTTGGCTAGGATGCAGAAGGCATCAGAAGGCCTAAGGGCCTAAGTCCCCCATTTCAAAATCTGGTGCAGAGGATCTCCCGTTCATGGACGGGATCGCTTCGCCCTCAGCGTGGCTGCGTGAGGGTCTGCACGGTCACAGTTATGAGAGAAAGCACCGAAGCCGCTCGTCGGTTCAGAACCTACTCTCGCATATTCCGGACCGATTCCCAGTTTTGAAAAGATGAGGCCTTGTTTTGGCCTTGGCTCTATTTCAAAATTGCTTCCTGTCATCATTGCATCAGAAGCTTTGCTGACACCTGTACATTTTTCCGGGTGCTGGCTTTGTTGCTTTTGCTTGCAAACCAAGACACACCGAACCAGCAGAACAGGAGGACAGTTGCCACGGCGAGGAGGACACAAAGGGCGCGGTGCCGTCCTTGCTTCAGCAGGCCACCCAACACGCAAGTGTAGACCCTCACGATGGCTCGGATCCGCAAGAGGAGCTGAGCATCCGTCATGAGGGAGGCGAATCACTCCTTTGGCATAGGGAGGGTGATGAGGCCGGGGAGGCATCGGAGGGAGAGGAGGCAAAGTGGGACCAATGCCACCGTCGCTGCCGGCGCCGTCGCCGATCGAGCCAGCTTATGGGCAAGGCATGCTGGGGTCCAGATTACGAGGGTTCATGGATGAACTGCGAAATGGAGGACGGGCTTTGCGACGATCTCTCAGCGTATGCATCTGGGAGATACCACATCATCTTTGAGTCACAGAAACAGGACGAGGCCGACGAACCCGATGGTGAGGAGGATGGTCGGAATGAGCAGCAGAGGCGTCTGCTCATTCGGACCATGCTCCCACCATCGATGGCTTCGTCGGCCTCGTCCTGTGACTCTGTCCTCGGTCCAAGTGCCACCACCGCCCGCGACAACGAGGGCTGCTCAGGCTCGGCATTGACCGTCGATGCAGAGCGACAGGATTCAACGGTGACGCGAAGCCGGCAAAATTTAGACACGGCGAGTGACAAGCTTTCCAGCATTTATTGCAAGTGCTGAGGGTTAGACGCAGCACTAGTCGAGTCGTGCGAGTGGCTGCGGCTGCATACAAAAATGTCTGTGTAATGGCCTACGTGGCCCGCTGGCCGGCAGCTGCTAGCTGCTAGGCGATTTCGTTTGCTTTCAAGCTCATGTCCAAGTTCCAGCACTCATGCTGTAGGCATCTGTAGGCTATGGGCGCGACTTGCATTGAGGTCTACACAACACGCTCCTTGGTCATACCACCCTTCGTGCTGGAGCCCGTTGGCAGCGGCAGCGATTTGCTGGCTGCTCAGAGATTAAACGAAGGAGCCAAGTAGGCTCTTCCGTCCACAAGCGGTACTCGGGGCTTGCAGGGAGTCCGCGACTGCGCATATCTGCATCGCCTACATGTCTTCAATCACCTTTCCAACCCTCGCCACCAGCTTCACTGGTTACTGTTTGTTGCTTCTGGGCGTTAGTGCTTGAACCTCTGTGTGTTCTTTGCTTCTGCACGTGCTTCCTGCTCGCTAAAAATGCAAAGAGCCATTGCCAAGGTAAATTCAGGGTTTCGGACACTTGAGATTCCTGAGGTGCCGTAGGGGATGGGGAAGGAAGGTTGTCAGAGTTGTCTCGTCTAGGCACGTTGTGCCTTTGATCATATTCTGATGCTCTCATGCTGTCTACCGGGTCTACTGCAAGTAGCTTCGATCACATCAGTCGCAACTTCCAGAGCCCAAGAGACCTCCGCAAGCAGTTCCTCTCAAGGAACATGTACAACTTCACTGTCGAGACCTTCGCAGTCGACAACCCGAGCAAAGCGGCCTACGCATCGGTGACCGTCAGGGTCCGGCTTCAGAGGGCGTTTCTTTTTGGGGCACTAGGCTGACAGGGTCTGGTGCAGGTCCGCCGCTCCCCGGTCTTCGCAGCCTTGGCAACGGAGGCCGGAGCACAGAAGCTGCAAGGGCCAACCGTGCGCTGTGTCGTGGTGTCCTGCGAGGATCGGCTCATGACGCGCGGAGACATCTTGGTGCTCGATGCGCGGCAATCACAGGAGCAAAGGGGCCAAGGGGCAGGGTCCGGGACTTCAACAAGCGAGAGTGTGCTTTCTCACACCGCCTAGCCGCTTAGCCAAGTTTATAAACCATGCTGGCGGAAGGGCTCTGCATGGTTTGCTACTTGTAGTCGAAACCTGAACCGCGCCCAGAGCAGACGAACAGACTGTATCCATGCCAAGCAAGACTTGCGGGAATGATTGCATGACATCCAACGCAGGGTGAAACGGAGTGGCGAGGACCCGGACTACCCGACGAACCCGGGCATGACCTTCGTGGGCACCTTCACCTGGTGGTGCCTCACCCCGTCCTGGGCCCAGCGTGCGTTGAAGCTTTTCCGGATTGTGGAGGCTTTCAAGATGCTTCCTTTAAGCCCGGAGCGCAGCTGCGGAGCCCGCCGGAAATCACCGGAAGCTCAGGGGCCGGCTGCCCTGCTTCGGGGCCAACGGCACGGGATTGATCCCCCCGTTGGAGACCTGCATCACGGACTTCGACTCCAGGACCTGGGACATGGTCAGCGGTGCTCTCTTTGCCAGGTTCCAACACCTGAGGAATCGTCAGAGCAGAATTTAGTCGTGAGGCAGCCTTGCAGTTAAAGCCCAATGTCCACCTCACCTGAAATCGAATGAACTGCGCTTGCGAAGGATAGTGCAGGGCGGCATGACCTTCTCACTGCCGCTCTTCGACGACGGTCTCTACTGCAGATGGGTCGAAGTCTCAGGGAGGGCCCTCGACAGGCGTAACCACTCAGGGGATCGAGCACATGGACAACACACTACACACTGTGGCAATTCCCAGCTTGAGGCCTCCACATTGTCTTCTGTCGTACACCCCACTTCGCAAAGCAAGAACATCCAGAAGTCCGATGGCATCCCCTCACGGACCCGCTATCAACAAACAAGGAAGACACACCGAAGCACCAAAGCTTCACCTTGGCAAGGCACGTGGCGTTCTTATGGTCTCTACAGTGAACTTCACAGAGGGAGAGTACCTCTTCGAGGCAGCAGCTGCGTTGGCAGAGGTATCGCAGTCATCGAATCACGACAGTCTGGCAGCCCTGCGCACTGATCCGGACAATCGAGCCGCAGAGCTGTAAAGGTGGAGTTGTCGCAGAGTCCATTGATGTACATTAGCTTCTGTGTCACATGATTGCAGAAGCTTCGCATCTCAGTTCTTGGCCCCGGTGCCGGACCTCGAACCATTCTTAACGAGAGCATTTCAGAAGAGCATTTTCTTGCTAAGTGTTGGAGCCATCCAAGCGTCGTGTATAGTGCAATCATCAGTTTCAGAGTTTACACAACATTCAAGTCTGATAGTCTGTGTCCGCACGACTGTGAGTTTTCCTGGGCAGCTTCACTTGCCGCCGGCTGACTCTGCAGGTGCAGGCTCAGGCCAACGATGGCCGTCGCTCGAGCAAGGTCGGGGTTCCGAGCTTGAAGCCGATTCAAATATCAGAGCATTAACAGGCGCACATCAGCGACCGTTCGGCGATGGCATGACAGGCTGTTCGGATCACGATCACCGAGTTGCAGGGGCCCTGATGTTGCTGCTCTTGCTGTTGTTGCTGATAGGCGTTGTGCTGCTGCTGCTGATAGTCCTCCGGCTACCAGTGTGACTTGCTCTAGCTGCTGCTACTGCAAAAACTAGTGCTGCTACTACGCCTTCCACTTGTACTCCTCCTCCGACTACTACTACCACTACTACTAC